CATGTACCTACTGGAGGAAATCAATTTTTTAACATTAAACTGAATAGTTTGACGTCTCGTCTCTCCTACGTAATCACGCATTCGTACACGTCACCAACCAGGAAATGAGTACATCCACGGAGAGGGGTGGCGAAAGAATCACAACAGAGCCTTTGAGCGTTCGCGTTTTGCGCCGCTAAAACCACAACGCCGTTTTTCTTTTATTGACGAGAGCAAATATGTCACGGAAACTCAAAGAAGACTATTATCGGTTCTTCTCCGTTACCGACCCACGCACACACGAGAAGGGCCACACCGAGTACAAAGTAACGGCGAGGGTGAGTTTACACTGTTTATCTATCCTTAGCTACAGCGTCATTAATTGAAACCTATCGTAGAGTCGGGTGTAATCATGCTTAATAACTACGTGGTTAGCTGTTTTGCTTATTACTTGACAAAACGTATTTTAACTTGAAATGCGTAGCACAGAGGTGTTAGCTTAGCGCTGTTCTCTTTGGTCTTTAACATCAGTTAAAAGTAAGTGACTTGGTATTATTATAAGTAGTGTTCATTTCTAACAAACCAGAGTGACAGGCGCCCGCAGCTAGCTCATATAAATAAACAAATAACTATACAACGGGCCTTTTATTTGAGGCAGTGGTGCACAATGAGCAGCCCAATGAAACAGAGAGAACTTGTGATCCAGTTCATGAGCACCCGCATGACTACAAAGGCATGCGTATAAAGTCAAAAAGGATCAAGCACTCATGGCTCTCCCTTAAATTTATCATTTAAATCGTGGCCTCTGCAGTGTTACCAAAAAGCAAATCTGCTGTGTCTCATTGTTAAACATGCAGCCAGTTAAGCGACCTTTACTTTATACTCTGTCATCTGCAGTTTGTGTCCAAGCGTCACCCAGACGATGTGAAGGAGGTGGTTGTGTGGAGGAGGTTCTCAGAGCTGAAGAAGCTCCACGGGGAGTTGGCCTACACACATAGGAACCTGTTCAGAAGAGAGGAGGAGTTTCCACCTTTTCCCCGAGCACAACTTTTTGGTACATGTGTAAAGATTGTGTTATGGTTTAGATTCCTGCGGAGCCTTTCATGCAATTATTGGGCTTAATGTCTTTCATTCCTGTTTTGAGACTTTCGTCACAATTCTTGTGACATTTCCTGTCAGATTTCCTTGTCTTTATGAGAAGTGACATGTTTAGGGTCGGTCTTTTTGCTTTGGTTTGTGAGTTTTGCCCGTTGTTTACTCCTTGGTAAAGGAAAAGCAGCTGTGTTGTTTGTTTTTGCTGATAAACTGAGGAGTGTCTTGTGGTAGTGTGGCCGAGCGGTCTAAGGCGCTGGATTAAGGCTCCAGTCTCTTCGGAGGCGTGGGTTCAAATCCCACCACTGCCAGCATGAGGTGCTCTTTTAAAATTTCATTATTTACAGCAGGTAGCGCCATTTGTTTTAATGTGACTCTTCCTGACAGAACCCCAGAGGGATTTGTGTCTCTATTTAAATATCTTGAAGTGACTCATGAAACTAATTATCTAAGAACTTTATATGTGCTAAATTTGTTATAATGAGATGCATTCGATATGCTCTTTTAAAATGTCATTATTTATAGCACGTAGCTCCATTTGTTTTAATGTGACCCTTCCTGAAAGCATTCGAGGGGAGCATGTGTATGTGTTCTCTAGAGATGCTTTGCCTTCCTCCTGCAGTCTATTTGCATGAGTGTTGAAAATGAAAAGCAGCTGTGCTGTATTTTTTATCAGATCATGCTGATGAGAAAAGTCTGAATGGGAGGTGGGCAGTTTTGTGGTAGTGTGGCAGTTATGCAAACCTGAACTCTCTTTGGACCTTGTTGTGATGTGTACAGCAACATCGACCAATCAAAGTTAATTTCACAGTTAGTATGTCAGAACTGTGGAGTACAGTCCTCCCTTCAAATGTATTCTGAGAAAAGTAAATTGAGGTAGGACAGTGAGTCGTAGTATTTCAGCAGGTAGTGTGGCCGAGCGGTCTAAGGCGCTGGATTAAGGCTCCAGTCTCTTCGGGGGCGTGGGTTCGAATCCCACCACTGCCATGTAAACATTTTCATTTGGCAGTGGGGAGAAAAAAAGGAAGTTTAAGACACACCTCTATTTGTCTTCATTAGAAGCACCATGTTTATGGTTGGCCTCCTTGCGAAACATTGTGTGTAAAAACTCAAGTGTAAATATGGTTCAGCAGGAGCAGCACATTCCAGGAATGGTGCAACTCCCTGCAGAGAGTTTTTGTCGATGGAGACAGTGTCAGGTAACTCAGTCTGTGGTCCGCTGTTCCTCATGCTCATGTTGGTCCGTCAGCCAGCTGAAGAGAAGAGCAAAGTTATAGTACGCAAAGAGCTGAAGTGGCTTCATTTTTCAGTGGTTACTAACATCAAACTGCAAACGCAGCAAATCAGTTGAGCCATACCTATAAACAGTCATGATTCATGAGTTCATTCAACGTTTCATGCCCTGCTTAATATGATGGCAGCAGTTTTAACCTCGACAAATGGCGATTACTTAACACTAACGCTAACGGCAGCTTCAGAAGTGAAAAAAGAAATTGTAACACTTCCCTTTTTGTCTCTTGTAACTTTAGGAAGGTTTGATGGGGCTGTGATAGAGGAAAGGAGAAAAGCAGCAGAGGCCATGCTTCAGTTTACTACCAGCATTCCTGCTCTGTATAACAGCCCACAGCTGAAGGAGTTCTTCAGAGTAAGACACACTCAGAGAGGCAC